GAGAAATGGATTCGGAGTTGAGAAGTTATATATTACAGTATCAAACCTTGGAAAATTTTTAAATGGGATTCCTTTATTTAAATGGTAACTCATCTCCCCCTTAAATATGATCTCATGTTGTTGACTTGTCTTATCTTCTACATTTTTTAAATATTTTTATTCACTCTACAGTATTTTCAATTGATTTCCAACATGTGTTGTTAAAGACCTTTCTTTTATTATTTCCCCCTCAAGCAAACTATAAGGCAAACAATAAACTACTTTTACCACGAACTAGTTATATTTGCTCTGCTATTTTCGTGACCGCCCCTGTGCAGGCAAACAGAGGGCGTAGAGCCAAACCATAATGGTAATCGCCCATGTACAACAACTGCCAGAAGGCTGGAGACTCGACGCAAACAGATCGTTCTGCAAATGGCAAGCTGATGCAGATAGCTATGCAAAACGGGTAATCCAAACGACTGGCCTTATAAGGCGGCCAATGGTCCAAGCCAACGAGAAACAGACGCGTTATTATTTAACAACAATTACCGAAAGTGAGCTTCGAGTGTCTGGCTTTGTGTGCCCAATTATAGAGAAAATGTTGCCGAAATTGTCACTCAATGACTCGACTTCCTTGGCGCTAGATAGAAGATACAAAGAAGCCCAGCTGTCTGCTCAGTGGAGCGTTTAGCATTGGCTCCGCAGACAGCCTTGAGATCCGCTTGTAAGGCAGACACCAATCCAATGGGGTTTATGTACTGGAACTACGGCCAAATAAGGACATCGGTGGTGACGTAAACATGGACTTACCTGCAAAGAGGCAAGAGCAAACAAAAAGTCAGTTAGTTGAGGGGACAAGTTCTAGTTTTACGTTGCCCACACCATTAATCATCTATCAATTGGGTTGCCTTTTGGGAGTGACTCACGGCTGGAGAATGAAGATCCCCCTTGTTTCCAGGAAACGTGACTCGCTAGGGCTTCCCTAATTTACACAAAAAACCATTTATCTGGCTGGCCCACCCTGACCAGGAACGAACATCCAGAGGCCAAATGCATTTGGGAAGCGACAGGGGGAATGAGAACTGTGGCAGATACCGAGGACATGACAGATATGTCCTACTATGGCCTCTGTCCGGGGTTGCTTATCGTGGGTTGCATGCGTCAGTGGCAGACTGACTAAACTCTAATTCTCCTCCTCTGGCAATACACTTAAAAAACTAGATAATATGAAAATTATACTAAGAAACTCTCAAGTCTTAATATCCATTTGTAATAATTCTCAAATAATCTACTTTTACGATTCTAGCAATTTCTAGAGATAAATCTAAAATCCTTCCATTTAGGCCTAAGAAATTTCTAGACTATTTCTAGTTTGCCAAGTGTAGATCTAGCGCTATTTCTATGTCGGATTAATGTGGGCCCGTCTGTCTGCATTTTGGGTGCGGCTGGATGGCTGACTGACTGGCTGACTGCATTCTCCGTCTGTGCGGCTTTCTCTGGATGTTCTGCCGGGAATTAGACCCATTGACTCATTCTAGGGCTGCGCCCAATCGCAAACCCAGTCCCAAACCCACTTCTGGCCAAACTAGTCGCGGCTAGGCAATCAAAATCGACATTTAGTTTTATGGCGAGTCAAGCAACAACATGCAATGTGTCCCGAGTTCAATGCACTTGCCACTCAGCCTCAAACTTCGCTGCAGTGGAGGCTCTTGGGCCAGATACACAGGCATACGGCATACTGGCAGGCAGATCGCGTGACTATAGTTAAATACATACACAGTTAAGCACCGAGCACGGCACGTGACGATATTGGGGCAGAAAGTATCCCCCATGTTGTGGACACGGGATATACCGGGAAAAGAACAATTTGGACGAACGGCCGGTGGGCAGGAGTATGCCCTTAATCACTGCCCACCACTGTGTGGCGCAGGGAGCGAAGAAGAAGAAACGAGAACAAGAACGCCACCGACATCGATTTCAATTGCAATTACTCATCATCTATCGCGGCAATTACCCGTATTATGATGATAAGTGCGAAACCGAACAGCTGCCGGCAGATTTCGGAGTGACTCAAGGAGCCGATTTGGAGCAGTGCTCGCATTCTTGGCTCTCGGAATCCGGAAATCTAGCTAAAGGTCAAGAACGGGAAAGCAAGTGCTATTTTTAGGATAACCGCTGACCATAAATAGCTTTAGGAATCAAGTTGTATCGACGGTTTAGCTTTTAAAAAACACTTGTGGCTTAATCATTCAAAAACGTTAAAAATAAAATAGTTGTTGGGTTTTTTGAACGTACGCTACTATTATAATCAATACCAAGAAAGAAAGCTAGCTTCGGCAAGCCGAAGCTTATATACCCTTGCAGTCATTAAATATGTCAAACAAAATACATAAAGGCTAACAACATCGAATCTATGACGATTTTTCTATTATTTACCATATTGTTCATATGACATCTATATGATATAGTCGTCCGATTTTGATAAAATTTAATATGTAACTCAAGACTCATTAGAAAACTCTATATTCCAAAAATCATGATTGTCTGATGAAAAACAACGAGGTTATAATTTTATTTCCGTTATTTCTATATAGATTTTTCGATCTTTCCTATGGCAGCTATATGATATAGTACTCCGATTTTTATGAAATTTTTTTCTCGATTTAAGGGTATTTCAAAAACTTGATGTTCCAAAAATCATGCTCGTGGCATTAAAAACAACGACATTATAATTTTTTTTTCCATTATTTATATATATATTTTTTGATCTCTCCTATGGCAGCTATATGATAGAGTTATCCGATTTTGATAAAATTTAATACGAAATTCAATAGCAGTTAGAAAACGCCATCTGGAAGAAATCAAGTCGATCTGATCAAAAACAACGGAGTAAGAATTTTTTATTTCATTCTCTTGTATGGGAGCTATCCGATATAGTCGGCCGATCCGGCTCGTTCCGACCTATATACTGCGTGCAACAACTATACAACTTTTGGGAAAGTTTCAGCGAGATAGCTTTAAAACTGAGAGACTAGTTTACATAGAAACCGACAGGAGGACAGACGGACAGACAGACAGACAGACAGACAGACGGACAGACGGACAGACGTACAGACGGATTTGGATTCTGATCGTGATGCTGATCAAGAATATATATACTTTATGGGGTCTGAGGTGTCTCCTTCAGTGCGTTGCAAACTTCTGACTGAAATTATAATACCCTTTTGCTCTGCAAGGGTATAATAAGTAATCGATTGACAAATTCAGGGCATAAAAACCGCGCAAAAAACAGTTGCATATGTAAAAGTGATAATAATTTAAATAATAATAATAATTTACAAACACAATAAGATCCAAATTATCGTACCTTTTCTATTCCTACTCAATAAATTATAATAATATTCTTTGAAGTTTATTTTTTTTAGAGTGCGCTGTACATTTTTTTTTATATACATTTTGCCTACTTCAGCGATTTTCCTTGTTGGCTGCTCTATAATGGAGTGATGACCAATTTGAAAACTGGCACAGAGAAGGAAAACACAAAAACAAGCGCCACCTCGATTGCAGGGTCATAAAAGCGTTAGAAGTGCGGGGTGTTCGAGGGTTAGGGGTTCGAGATGTCCATCGGGTGATTGTACATACATATACTCAGTTTCGGGGGCGGGGGAGGGAAACTGGCACACTTGCTGACATTGCAGTGTGCACTTAACTAGAACCACCACTGTTCAACACACACACACACACACCCGCAAGCATATGCTTATGCATGTACTAACTACTCAAAACGGTCAATTTACCCGGTTGCAGCTGAAATAAAGTCCTATTGACAGCGGGGGTTATATCAAATATCGGTTGTTAGGGGCGTTTTCCAGAGAATCCATAACAAAGGTTGGTGGAGTGCCAAACTCGAATCGAATAGGAATTGTTCCTCGATCCAAAATGAACAGTTAACCCATTATAAGATCAATATGCGAAATGTGAACCGAAAGCGCAAAAGGAATATGAAACGGAAATGAGGAGCCGATTTAATGGAGGAAACACTGAAAAGGCAACGACGCGATACTAAAAAAAAAAGAAAAACCAAAGAACGGCAAAGAACGTTGTTTTTGCAAATCTGCAAATCCCAACTTATTACACTGCACCGCCTACAAACACACACACATGCTTAAATTGTTTTAAAAAAAATGCCGGTTACTGCTTGGCTATTTACTTACTTGCTGCTGGCCTGATTATCGGTACAATCAAAGTTGGAGATCATTTTGCTGTTTAACCGTAAATTGGCGAATTAACAATTGGGAAAACTGGCACGCACGTAAAGACGTGAAACACACAAAATGCAAGTGGAAATGCACAAAACGAAGAGTCCCAGAGCAGATGCCGCGGCACGTTCTTACAGTTCGAAAGTCAAATTAAGTGTGCCCAGTTTTGCTAGAAACGGCCTGGTCCCCCAGTTTTTTCGCCAACTACTATTTCCCTAAAAAATCCACTTCCCAAATTTGATATTAAAAACAATTTAGTATTTTTTAGCGTTGCGTTTCATTATCCGCGTCAAATTAACGTTGTTGGTTTAGCGGTCATTGGGGAACAGTGGAATATGGAACGTGCCGGTTTTTTTTAAATTTGAATTTTTTCACGATAGTATCAAGGAACCAGGAAACTGAACGTTGGATTGTTAAAAAACGTTTTCAAGTTGTATCAATTTAATATCAATAAAAATCCACCAATAAAAATCCGCCAAGCCCATTACTTAATGGAGTATTATGCGTATGCTAGTGAAGAGACGGACCCACAAATTGTTGCAGAGAATGAAAACACTTTTGGCGCTAAGTTAAACATTTTCTGCTCTGCGCCCAAAGATACACTTTGATCAGAATGAGATAATCAATTTAAAAAAAAAAAAATTATAAAATTTCATAAAATTGTATCTTCACTTTTTTGGCCTTTACAATTTTGTTGTTTAAATCACCAACACTCTACTTTTGAAAAAAAATACGGAACATTTTTGCAAACTCCTCTGGTATTTTTTGTGTCTTGATTTGCGGTCACATCAAAAGGTCTAAATTTTGTTTTTTTTTGCTTACATTCAATTTTAAAAGAAAATCCTTGACTTTTCCAGCCAACTTGGTGCCAACAGCTGGCCAGGATGAACGCCACCAACTTGCCAACGGTGTTGATAAAGTGCCGGATCTGCCTGGGTGATTCCGAAGAGGACACAATGAGTTCGCTTTTTGAAGAAGAATCCGAAAGCGAAAATACCCTGAGTGGCAAAGTCGAATTTTGCTGCGGTATCAAGGTGAGTTGAAGTGTCCGGATAAGTTATGATTCAACTCTCATTACCTAAACCTCTAAAGGTCCGCCAATCTTCAGAGATGCCATCCAAAGCCTGCAAGAGCTGCAGCGAGTTCGTGTCAATGTGGTTCAACTTTCGTCAGATGTGCCTGAATTCGCAAGTCTACTTGGAAACAAATTTACCGTGCAGCGAGAGACCGGCTGAATTAGCACAAGCCAGCGACGGCGAGTTCATGGAGTACCTTTACGAAAAACTACAGCTCAATTCTAGTCCAGACAGCACTTATCAAGAGGAGAACAACCAAATGACAGATGAGGAACCTGTCCTAGAGGAACAGCCCCAAGAAGTTTTAGACGTCAACGGGGTTATTATAAGCGAACAAATCAACGAGGAAGATGGGCCGGTTAATGACATTCCCAAACAAATGTTTGATCTGACCTCCTATGAAGCCTATTTTCCAGAAGCAGACGAAGAAACGATTGAAGGTAAAGGTGAACTTGTTGAGGATTCTTCCCCTCTCAATGAGGAGTACTACGAGATTGATTACGAAGAAGAGGAGAGACTCATCGAGGATGACTTTCTATCAATTGCGCCTTCGCCAGATTTTAGCACCCAGGAGGAAAAACGCAAGCCTGGAAGACCCCGCAAGCCCGACAGCGAACTCAAGTTTCAACGCAAGGGGTCTAATAAAAAGAGAAAAGTTGAGGAAAAGTTCACGTGCAACCTGTGCGGCAACGTCTATTACAAAAGATCTCTTTTCACTGCTCACATGATAAGTCACACGGAATATAAGCCGCATCAATGCGAGTAAGTCAAAAGTAGAATCTATTTTACCAGGGCTAATGAAGAATTCGAATGGGATTGCAGAATCTGCCCAAAATCCTTTCGCCAACTAGGCGAACTGCGGGCCCACATCCGTCGTCATACAGGCGAACGTCCCTACAAGTGCATGTACTGCGAACGCCACTTCTACGATCGGAGTGAAAGGCTTCGCCACGAACGGATGCACACCAACACTCGTCCTTATGCGTGTCAGGAGTGTGGAAAGACATTCACGCACACGGCCACTCTCAAGAACCATACCCTGGTTCACTCCGGTGAGAAGAATTACAAGTAAGAGGCGACACTCGGAAATAGAAGCTCAGACTAAATGATTTTCCTCTTTCAGCTGTGACATATGCTCAAAGTCGTTCACCCTTCTGCACCAGCTTAAGGCCCACCTGCAAACGTTCACCCACCGTAGCAAAATGGAGGTAGCCATTTCCAAATCCCCGGACCTTATACAAAGCTAGTCGGCCAGCTTTAATTCATAGCTTAAGTTATCTACAAGTATTTCAGGCTAGAAAAAATACAAAAAACAAGACACGCTTCTCATAAATATCCACATGTTTTTATTGACTATTCGACCAGGTTGCTACACTCGTTGGCCAAAGACACGCCCAGCAGGTGCGTGTGCGACTTTTGATGAGCTTTGAGCTGATGTTTCAGTCGGAAAGCCTTGTTGCAGGTGTCACACTTGTGCTTCTTTTCAGAGGTGTGCAGGAGGTAGTGCGCCTTGCGAGAGGTAGACAATGAAAAGGACTTGCCACAAACGTTGCAGACATATGGCCGCTCATTTGTGTGCATGCTGAAATGGAGGTAGTAATATTATTTTGGGCCTGGTAGTTTTAAAAAATTAAAAGGACTATACCGTTCGTGTTTGCGATGAGTACTGCAATCGGCAAATCGGCGGGAACAGTAGGAGCACTTGTAAGGTTTTTCACCCGTGTGGGTTCGCATGTGTGTTTTCAGGTTGCAGGCGGCTCTAAATGACTTTTGACAAACCCTAAAACAAAAATATTATTAATTAATCAAGCGTTTTGTTCAAATTAGAGTTTAGTTACTCGCACTCGTGAAGTTTTTCTTTGCCGTGCAACAGCATGTGTACATTAAGTAGACGCAAACGGGGGTAAGTGTTGCTGCAGATCTTGCATTTGTACTTGTCTGGCTGGCAGGCCACGCCCAAATCTACTTCGTAATCCAGAGCTGGCTCCGATTTTTGGGACTCCTCACTAGTCTCCTCGGGGTTCTCTGTAATAACAGTGCCCTCCTGCGAAGAGGTTTCCAAGTCATTATCTTCGATGATCTCTTTTTCCAAATCGCTGATGGTGTAGTCTTCTTGAAACGCAGATTTCTCGTTATCCGCGTAGACATTTAAATGAAACACGAAGTTGCCTGCCTCCTCCTCGGATTGAGATTTCATAATGGGAATAAATTCCAATGTTTTAGTTTGTGTTTCCTTCACTTTGATGGGATTCTTTTCAGTCTTGACGACCAGAGGCTTCTCTTCGTTGAGTCGCTCGGAAATCTTTTGCTTTCTGGCACGTTTTCTTTGCCCAGCTGACAAATCTTTGCTATTTAAGGTGTGGAAGGGTGCTGCTGAGGACATGGTCTTTTGGACGAGCTTCCTCAAGTGCTCGTCGGAGCGTTTGCACTCGCCTAGAAAACGATCAACCTCCTCTAGCCTTTCCAAACAATCCGAGCATATCTGATCTGGTAATCCATCATCTGGTTCCACCTGCCAGGGAAGTATAAAAGGAATATATGATCGGAAAACCAATACGACATTCCAGTGTACTCACAACTATACCAGCATGAAAGGCTAACTGATTATGGGCATTTGATTCAAAGAGAGAGTGGAGCGAGGACCCTTTCTTGGAGCAAGTGCGACACATGCTCCATTTAATAGTGATCTCCATTTATTCAGGAATTATTACTCTTTGCGTTAAATTCCGATTCAAATTCCAGAGCAGGACATTAAAGTAACTAGGGTTGTGAAGTAGGCTGTATAACGTCGTTGCCATATCGATAGTTTACAATTATCGATTGATTGATTTGATTTTAAATAAACATTAGTATTGTATTGTTCTGCCTAATTTATGGTTTGAAATTAGGAACTCGAAAATATCATGCATTATCTTCGAAAAATTTAATAATCCTTATTAAACACATGAAATGGGTATTATTTTTTTTCGGAAAATTTCTTTTAAAATAATCGATAGCTTGATAAAAACGTCGATATCCCTTCACCGTTTTTTGCATCTGACAACTCTGGAAAAAAGTTCCAAGACGCTTGTCTTGTTTATTTCACTGATTTCTGAACATACGGAAGGACAGGACAGGCGAAACCATGCCTGAGTACATGCTGTGCAGGATTTGCTTGACGGAGGACATCAACTCGGAGGCGATGGCTCCGCTGTTTGACGATGATGATGCCCAGTGCCGGGAGCTGGTGCGCAAGATTGAGGAAGTGGGCAGCATAAAGGTACATGTGCACTGCCTAGATACACCTGTCGCCCGAACTGCTCTGTTAATTCCGGTGGTTTGGTTTTTTAGCTTGTGCCGCTTCAGAACATCCCAAGCATGCTGTGCTACAGCTGCGTGGAGCGACTGACCAGTGCCCATAAGTTTCGGGAGTTGTGCCAGGAGAGCGAACGAACGTTTGCCACCAATGTGGTCAAGGTATGTGGTTCACCTACTTAGTCTCCGTTAAACTACATTCTAATCGGCCTCAAACCCCGCCAGGCCGAGATGAAGTCAGAACCTACGGATGAGGGGCCGCACATTGTGGCCGACCACATCGAGTACATCTACGAATCGGCCACTGACTTTATTGATGGCGTGGAAGAGGACATCGAGATGGACAACATGATGGAGGAGCGTCTGGACGATTGCGTTGCGGAAACTACTCAGCCCTACGAAATCAAAGATGTGGTGGACGAAATGGACGATAATGACTTTATGGTGCCTAATAGCACCGATAGCGACTACCAGCCTAGTGAACGCAAGCCCAAGGTGCGGAAATCGCGGCTGACCAAACGTGGACGTGGACGTCCCCGCGGCTCTGGCTCCTCCCATCGACGTAGTCTTAGTCAGGAGCGCCCATCTGTGCAATCAATTTGCAAGGAGGAGTCATCCACAAACATCATGTGTGAGATTTGCGGCAATATTTACTCCAAGCGGGCGGCGCTCAACATCCATATGCGTCGCCACATGGCCGAAAAGCCATTTGAGTGCGAGTGGGTATCCAGGAGAGTCCTGCATGAATGTATTATGAGGCGCATTTATGTTATTCGGAACGACAAATAATGAGATGCCACTTAGTGTGTTCATGCAGGCCTTAAATCCACTAAACAGAAAAACCAATTAAATAACACTACTCCACAGAATCTGCGGCAAAACCTTTGCGGGTCCATCCGAACTGAATCGCCACATTCGAGTGCACACCGGCGAAAAACCCTTTACGTGTAAATTCTGCAATCGCTCATTTGCGGACCGCAGCTCCAATATTCGCCATGAAAGGTATGGCGAGCAAATCCCAAAAACTACTTATAAATAACCTAAATTGTTATTGCAGAACCCACACAAACGAGCGACCTTTCACCTGCTCCACCTGCGGCAAGGCATTCTCATACTCAAATGTGCTAAAGAACCACATGCTCACCCACACGGGTGAGAAACCCTTTCTGTAAGTTACTTGTAAACTCAACAGGTAGCGATAATCTAAAGTTGAAATTGTCAACTTTCAGTTGTCGGCCGTGCAATAAGACCTTCTCCCGCAAGCATCAGCTGGAACAGCATATAGGCACGATGACCCACCAACAGACTGTTAGGAACCACCAGAATAACGAACCGATGCGGCACTCAGAGATCTATTAGAAATAGCACTTGCAATAAACATTTTTATAGATAATTTAATTATAAATAGATATTGTGTAAATAAAAAGAGTACAAATGGTCAGAGCCAGATGTTTGAAAACTGATTCAAAACTGTATAAATTGGTTTCGAAATTTGGTAAAAGTTTCTTTTAGGAGTTTCTCTTACAATAACCTGTGAATTAGAAGAGGACAAAACCACATTTTTAAAAGCACATTTATAGATTTATTAAAATATTTTGATAATTTATCTAAAATCTCGTTGAGTTTAACATTAACAAATTGAATAGAACGGCGATGTTGAAATAACACTGGATAATGTATGTAGATAAAGATTAATGTTTCGTTAGTTTCAGTACAACATTTATTTTTAATAAATTTGTGCAAGGCTGGAAGAATTCCGTTTAATTAAAAGCAAGACTTCTATAACCACGTCAATAAATATCATATAACACTAGGATAAGCAATAGCGGGGAATTAAGTACATCTATAAATTGTTGGTTGGAAGAAATCCGTAGTTTAGGAAGCTAGAATTTGACAAAAAACGATTAATGTCACCTAACAATAGATTAGAATGACACTAAAATATGTAGATATACAACTAGAAGTTAATGTTGTTTACACTCATAATTTTGTCTTTTCTAAAAAGGACATGGAAAACAGTTTAAATTTAATGTTTTAGAACTCAGACGCTTACCAATATACTGTAAAAAGGTGGTTAAAACAATGACTAGATAATATAACCGTGTTTCAGATGCAGACTGACTGCACTGATCATTTCTTATGAATACTGGTAGGCAAGTGGGTCATCAGATGGAAGAAACAATGACTAGATTATATACGTCTTTCAGATGCAGACCGTCTGCACTGTTCTTTTCTTATGAATACTGGTAGACAAGTGGGTCATCAGGTGGAAGATCCGCTGGAAGTTCTTTTGCCAAATGTATCAACTAAAAAAGAAGGGTCTGTAAAAACAATGGGTATTGAGTTGATCATATTGAAAATGCCCATTAGTATTTCCAATCGGAGATGTGAGTCAATTTGTGCTTGTTAAGACATTCGGAGCTTACAAAACTTTTCTCACAAACATCGCACTGAAAGCGTCGCTCATTCGTGTGGCGTCGATGGTGCTCCTGGCGGGAACTCTTGTTGGAGAATCGACGCGGACAGTAGATGCACACGTAAGGCTGCACGCCCTTGTGACTACGGTTGTGGTGCATTAGTTCCTTTCTGGTGGAAAAACATTTTCCGCATTCCCTGAAGGGAAAAATAATTCTCAATCGTCTCCTTGAATATAGAAGCATTGCTATAATAACCTACCCAAAGTGGCATCGGAAATCCTTTATGCCCTTGTGCCGGAGCTTGTGTTCCTGGAAGTTAGCCCTGTTGTTGATCGTCTTTCCACACTCTTCGCAAACATAGGGATCAGCTTTGACGATGGATATTGGGAGCTTTGCACTTATAGGCGCTGAGACTTCTCCAGCAGCCTGTGGAAGTTCTTTAATTTCAGGTATCAAAATAGATTCATCCAGTGTAAGCTCGATTTGGTCATCATCAATATCCTCCTGCAGGATCGGTTCGTTGAGGTAACCCTTGCTGGCGGTGTCAATCCTCTCCAGATTCTGTTTTTCGGAAATTATACAGCGCTGGCGGAATTTAATGGCCGACTCCAGGTCGCCAAGGCAAACCATGCACATATAGCAGGATATTTCTTTGTGGCAGCTCAGCTGAAATGTATGTATAAATAGATAGATCAAAAAAAACGCCCAATCAAAAAAATTATTTTTATTTCTTACCTCGACTCCTGTAATAGAGAGAATTTGACGTACTAGGTGACCATTTCCAGGGTCAAAGATATTAATTGGTGCCTCTGGTCCTGAGCAAATGCGGCATTTTATGATTCGCATCTCGTATTTCGCTAAAATTGTTTACTGTTTACTTCTTATGCGAATCGTGTGTAGGTGTACGGTCACTTTTTTTTAGAACATGAACGTGGCCAGAATTTGTAGTAAAGGGGTTAAATTTAGTTGTCTGAATTTTTTAATAAAACTTTAAATTTTAAGTAGTTCTCCGATTGGGCTTTTTATATGTAACTCCTTTTCTGTTTTTCGGCCCCTCCTACTGCAGCCATGCGCCACTACCACAGTTATCGTTATCGATGATAATAAAACAGCTGTTTTTTTTACTTCTTGTAGTAACAAATTGGTTGTTTACATTTAAATTAAACCCAAATTGAGCATAAACTGAATTTTTTAAACAAAACTATGACGCTTGAATGTCGGACCTGTGGAGGCATCATCTATAACACAAAGGCCAAGAATCTCTTTCTCATAGAGAACGCACAGTTGCTGCTAAACGTAAATCTTATATCTGGCGTTATGGTAATATCGAAACTAAATTTGTGTTTTTTTTTTTGTTTTTGTATTTCTGAATATATGTTTATGTATATAATCATGATAATTACAGCTTTCTAACGATCCGGATCTGCCAAGTTGCATATGTGCCTGCTGTGTCCTTGATTTAAACAACGCCATCGTTTTCCGAGAACGGTGCATCAAAACGCAGCAGCATCTTCTCCGGCGCATTGAGACTCAAGAAGCGGAAGATCAAGGACACATAGACTATGAGGAAGAGGAAGAGGAGAATTTGACAATAAAACAGGAATCTGTAATCAGCAAATTGAATTCACCTGGTTTGCCTACGATTCGTTTAGACGATTTGGAGTTCGTTAACGAATTTCAAGATCTTGATGACGAAGACGTCGAAGTTGGAGAGGAGGTGGCCTACGACGTCGACTCCCTCATCACAAGTGTCCAGAAAGAGTTTGAAAGCATCTATGGCGACGAAAGTGATGAAAATGAGGATCGGGAAAGTCTTAAGGAGGACAAGTACAATATAATGGAGAATTGTGAAAGTGGATCACCTCCAGATTCGCCAAGAGAAACCTCAAAACCCAAAAGAAAAAAACAGTACGTAACATGGAAGAACATGACAGAGGATCAAATCGTCGAGAGAAAGCGCCAGCAACGGAAACGAGATTGTGTCTGTGAACAATGCGGTCGGCACTTTACCGACCAGAGCAACTTCAAGTTGCACATGCTGCGGCACACCGGGATAAAGAACTTTGCCTGTCAGGAGTGCGGCAAGCGATTCTACACCGAGCACCTCATGACGCTACACCAGCGAATAGTTCACCAGGGCGAGAAGCCGTACTCCTGCCGGTACTGCTCAAAATCCTTCCACAACAGCACCACCCGCGTCGTCCACGAAAGGTGAGCTATTTTTAAGTTCACCTTTTTGTTTTTGGGAATGGAAGAATGATAATTTGATTTTTGCCTTTAGAGCTCACACCAACGCCAAACCTTACGCCTGCCGCCACTGCGACAAAAGCTTCAGCTCGGCATCCGGACGAAAGAGACACGAACTGATCCACACAGGTGTGAGGGCCTTTGCGTGAGTACACTTTTTAGAGTTACATATCTCAAAACCAAAAAGAAAGTAATCTTTCATTAACAGCTGTACAATCTGCGAACAAAGCTTCCAGCGCAACACCCACTTAAAGGCCCATCTGCGATCCAAGTTTCACATTTTTAAGGCAAGAGAAAACGGTATTGAGCTTGGATAAACTTTGGTTTATTATAGTAAATTATAATTATTACAAAACTATACCAAATTCTTTTAATTCGGACACATTACAAAGGTTGAAATTTGAAACTCGATAACAGACACTCGTTTTCCAATCAAAAGCCGATAACTGGACAATGCAGTGCTGCCGATAAGTTTCCGAGGTGGCAACTTTCACTTTTGTTTTAACAAATAAGTCGACCATTCATTTGTTTAGTTGTTTGTGGCTAAAGAAAGTTAAGCTGGGTTTTAGAAGTTCTTTTAAAATTGGGTTGGTTCTCCTTCCAGTACCAAAACTTCAACGCATTGAGGATTTTTGTGATTGCGCCCGACTTGGGTATATTTTGGCGCTTCGTCTACGGTCACACCGCTAACATTTCATCAAAATTGCAGGTTTAATTTCGCTTTTGACTGCATTATTAAGTTTTGGTCGAAATACTAGGTTCTTAGGCGAAGCTAAATCCGCTCCCCGCAGTTGTGTTTATTTTCGCCCGATTGCACTGAAAGAAAAACTGGTTGACCTTCGGCAGCATGGAGCGTCGTCGCTTTAACATGAGCAGCATGTCACCCATGGCGGATTCCACGCGGATCGACGCGTCGTTGATGTGAGTCCACTTTTCTTGACAAATTCGCATCAGATACTAATTAAATGCGATTTATATTGTTTAGAGGCAACCGCCCGTCGCCAACCAGTTTCCTGAGAGGATTAAATTCCAAGGGCGGAAACCCTACGCACAATGGCACCCGCACCCCAGAAAGATCTTCGATGAACCTTACGGCTGCATCACCCAGCAGCATTTCGCGACAAAAACTGAACATCAGTCAGTTGGATCCCAGGTAAGGGAAACTAACAAAATGTCCTTGGTGCCTAATTGCACCATGTGGCGAAATTGTTCCTGTAGATCAACGTCAAAACCCTCAACTTTTGCAGAACCTTTGCTGATGTGCACAGTAGTGGATTGGCGTCCCGGATAGTGGCCTATCATGAGAGCAGTCTTGGTGGACATGGTGGCCTGCAGCGCAGCATGTCCGCCAGCAATCTGTACAATCCATTGGCGCAGCCGCGCAGGGCGCCTGTCTCCCCGCTGCCGTACAAATCGAGGGTGCCGGCGCTTTCGATAACCCAGATTGCACCACCTGAGCGCAGTTTTTATTCTGGTAATACGCTGCCCAGCTTGCTGCGCTCCAACTCTCTGGCTGGAGTCGTGAAGAAGACCAGCGAGCAGGAGCAGCTGTCGCGGGAGAATCGACCCATCCTGCACCCGCCGCATCCACAGCATGAGAGTGAACCAACCAGGAGCGTGCTGGAGGAGCTAAAGGAAATCTCGCGGAAGCGCATTAACAGTGGCGTAAGTTTAAGCATCCAATCATCCTGTCGACGGATCACCAGCTTAGGCTTCGCTCGTTTTCAGGATCCCCAACCGCACGACTTTACGAAAAGGAGTTGCCAACGAGGTGTGGACTACGTGGACCATCAACGTCACCAACAACAGCTGCAGCATCAGCAGAATCAGTCCTTTAAAAGGCAGCGGGAGCTGACCGTATCTGTTCCCCTTAGGCATCATTCAACATCGCTGGCTGCTGCTCTGCCTGCATTACAACATATGCACTCCAATGGCAGCATTTCGCCCACACAGTCGCCGGAGCAACGGGCCAAGCGGCCGAATTGCAGCTACAACAATGACATCGCCTCCTCCCTGAGCTCCAGTCGGCTCCACACTAACAAGCGAAAGCTATTTGACATGCGGCAGAGTTTTCAGCGCAGCAAAAACGAGTCCACGGCGAATGGAAGCTCGCCGGATAGCTCGCCCGGCGAAAATGTCGCTAAAATTCAGCGTAAAGTTGATGCTAACTCCGTGAGCAGGACTCTCAGCTTGCCCGTTTCAAATGTGCCGTCAGTGCCTCCTCCGCGAACCATTTCAGCACCTCCCATGAAGAGTACAGATCAAGGCTCTGCAGAAGTACCGCCAGCGCCGGAGAAACCGAAACTCACCCTCTTTAATGCTCGACAATCGCAAACGAAGTCGGATAAGCCGCATCGCGATCTAAATAGCCCCGAGGTGGATGCCGGAGAATACGCAGGAATTCAGTTTGTAAAGCCCAAGCAGCAGAGCTCCATATTGGGCGTTAGAAATCCCAGCGTGGAGCGCACACATAAGACAAAACTGGCCATCATGCTGAGTGGCTTGAAGGGTGAACTTTACCAGGGTGAGCCGGACGAGCCAGATGCCCCAGCGCCAGCTGCCGTGACCCTTCCAACACCAATCAAACCCACCATTGCACAGCCGGTGACCACAACCACAACGACGGCAACTTCCACCGCAACGGTGACCACTACAGCACCCATGAAGCCGATAATTCTCAGTAACGAGGTGATAAAGCCAGCCGAAACGAAAACTTCTAATGCCACCAACCCAGAGCCCAAACTGGTGTTTGGACAGACAGTGGCACCCACTTCCACCGAAGGAGCTGCACCAAAAACCACTGACAAAGCAGCTGCAACACCTCCAGGAATTCCCGCCAAGTTTGAATTACCATCAGCCAATCCTTTAGCGCCAGCAACACCATCTCAGCCATTGATTACATTCGGCACACCAAAATCCACAGCTGCACCTACACTAACGTTGGGAACTGTAACTACTACTAGTAGCACCAATGCCGCTTCCTCGAAACCCATATTCTCGTTCGGACAAACTCCTAGCAATGGACCAACAGTCGGCGTTGCCCCAAGAATCAAATCGGACAACCCCACAACCACAGTGGCAACTACAATTAACTCAGGAACGCCGGCCACAAATACAACCACTTTTGGGATGACCGTAACAACGACGACTGCAGCTTCCGCGTCTACAACAATGACAACGCCAGCGATCAGTTTTGGCAAGCCGATTTCATCAGAGGCGGGGAACTCCACCAACAAAAATCCAGCCACCGCAACAATATCACCCTTTGGAACGGCACCAGCCGCCACCAGCAGTTCGATGACTCTAGCCGGGAGCAATCCAATTTTTTCCTTTGGACAAGCGGGCAACGCAAGCACAGGAACTCCGGCGAGCAGCGAAAGTGGAACAGCTGCTGCCAAGCCAGCTGTATTCAGTTTTGGCAGCACCACCACTCAACCAGCAGGATCTGCATCTGCTCCAGCATTTGGTAGTCTACCTCAACCCAGTAGCAACTCATTTGGCAGCGTTTTCGGCCAACCCGCACAGCCTACCAAACCTGAGCCAACTAAGCCAGGTATCTTTGGAAATCCGGACAACAGCATTGCAAGCGCATTTAAGTTACCCACAGATGCTGCAGCAGCCACCACCGCCAAGCCACCCAAGCCGTTTGGGTTTACAGCAACTACAACCGAGGCAGGTGGAACTCCGGCCGCCACGAATCTCTTTACATTTGGAGGAGCTGCAGCCGCAAAGCCGGCGGAACCAACTCAAACCAGCACGCCAAGCAATCTCTTTGGTCAGAGTGCAGCCACAGCCACTCCGTTCGCCTTTGGAGCAGGATCATCATCAGCAGCAGCAACAGCGGATGGAAACAAGGACAACAAATCCATATTTTCTTTTGGAGGAGCAGCAGGAGCAGACAGCAGCTCGGCAGCCAAGCCCAATTCGGTGTTTAGCTTCGGTGGCTCGGACAAGAGTGCACCTCCGCCGGCCTTTGGAAGCGGAGCACCATCGGTTACATCAACTGCAACAGCAACTCCTACAAACAACGCATTCGGATTCAACACTGCTCAGAAGCCCGCAACACCAATGTTCGGCAGTGGATCAGCCCAACAGACTGCGGCTCCTGCAGTGTCAGCCGCCAAACCCTTTGCATTTGGTGGTTCGCAACAGGCGGCTGCTCCGACAGCTTCGCCCGCCGCAGGGGGATTCTCATTTGCCGCGGCGGCAGCCAAAAACAATTCGGATCCAAATGCCACAAATCTTTTTGGCAGTCCCGCCGCTGCCGCCGCCAACAAACCGAGCTTTAACTTTGGCGGCAGCACCGCCAATCAGGCAGGAGCCGCATCACCAGGTGGCTTCTCTTTTGCAGCCGCCAGCAAAAAGAGCAGCCGGCGGCCAATAATATGTTTGGAGCTCCCAACACGGGAGTTGTTAAGCCGAGTTTTAATTTTTCAAGCAACAACTCTGCAACACAACCAGCAGCTCCTGCTCAAGCGCAGAGCTTTGGAGGATTCGGAGTACCGTCAGCAGCAGCTCCGCCTGCAGCAGCAAGTCAAAACAAACCCTTTGCATTTGGAGCCAGCACACCAGCACAGGCTCCCAGCGCTGCTCCCATGGGCGGCAATCTGTTCGCCAGTGCGGTGGCCGCCACCCAAAACCAACCGAAGCCAGGAGTCTTCTCATTCGGAGCGGCTAAGAACACAGCAAGCACTACGGCTGGAAATGCTCCGTTCGCTTTCGGAGGAGCAGCTGCCGGCGGCATCGCTTCGCCACCGAGCAACCAGGGCATGAACACAGCCAAGCCCTTCACCTTTGGTGGCGGTGGAGGCAATCCGGCGCCGAATGTCTTCGGCAGTCCAGCTCCTGCGCCGGCAGCTACCAATCCGGCCGGAGCCTTTAATTTCGGCTCCAGTCCGGCGCAGCAGGCGAACGCCGGAAATATGTTCGCTCCACCGCCCAGCACGCCGGAGAATCGACCAATGCGCAAAGCCGCCCGGCGGCTCCTGAAATAAGTTGGCATCCCTAAAAGTGTTGTAAATCATTATTATTTTTTCTAGTTAAATTTTTCCCCCGGACATTTAATGGATTAAAAATAGGAGTTGGTTATCTGAACTGTAATATATAAATCTATCGACTCTGGCTTCTGTTAAATTCAATTGACATTCGAGCGGGTTATCATAAAAGAATGTAGAGCTAAGAACATATAATTTATTATTTTAAGAAATCCAATAAAAGAAATATGTTATTGAAAACCAATATACAAATTAAAGAACAAACTGTGCAGTTTTCATATTTCATTTAAATTGTTTTATTTATGTGGATCGATCCTTTATTGTTTCGTGAACTCAAAAAGAAACGCAAAATCCATTTCATGCTTGTATTCTTTACTTTTATTAAAAGTTTTAGAACTCTGCCTTTGTTTAATCACCTCGTTAAAGTTTCGTGTATTGGTGCAAATTTGTGTTGTGTTCGGCCGGGTTTCGCTAACGCATAGAACTTTCTTTTACAATATTGATTGATGTGTGTATTAAAAAAATAATAACTTTAAAATTAATTAAATGTATGTCATGTGGACGTGTGTGTGTTTGTGAAGGGATGTGTGTTGGTGTATTAGGTGTGTGTGTGTGTGTTTACATAAAGTATACTAAAATTAAGTGTTAAAGCAAAGTGGCGGCCGCTTGATCAGAAATTAAAACGCATAAATGTACAAGTTTCTTAGGAAAGCACTAAAATTAGGTATTAAGTAAATTACGGGGTACGTTTAAAAAATAAATTACAGTTTCCTTTGCCTTTCCGCTAGCTGCATCGGTTTGATTAAAGTACAGAGAAGGAGATTCCTTTATAAAAGAATGGGCCGAATAATGAACAAATCCACGAACTTTGCGCGTAATAATTTATATTTGTATATTATTAATCGATTCATATGCTAAATACGTAGTTAATGTGTATTGTATTATATGTAGAAGTTTTTAATGTAATGCATATTTTCACAAGTGTTTTTCTCATTAAATTTCTTTCTTTTGAGTTTAAGGACACGCGGCCGCAGCCGCCTTCGTTAATTTTTGCTTAGGTTTCGCTCATCCCATCTTGCTTAATTTTTGCTCCTTGTTTTCTTTTCTTTTTTTGTTTTTGATTTTCAATACAAATAAATGTAACTAAATTTAACTAATTCTCAGCGTGATCCTTTTCCAACGACTTGTTGGACAAGTTCTTTGTGGTCATCCCTCAGTTTTGTGCTACAAACAGAAACGGTTAACAGAAAGAGTATGGAACTCGAATAAAACTCGGCGGTTTCTACGACTTCAAAGGGAAACATTCTATAAACAATGGTTTTTGGACGTGCGATCCCCCAAAGGAGATGCGCTCATATGTATGCGTATTCTATAACATAAAAGATACAGACAGACGTGGTCACGAATCCAGAAGAGAAATGTTACAGCGGAGTCTGAACCAAGGAGTTAACTAATAAATAGCTACAGTTACTGTTTACACATAACATAATATTGTGGTAGTTGAAGGTAGTAGTAGTAGGTAGGCTACGCAGCTGCTCATCCTTCCCTCACTCCATCCCATCCATCCATCCCGTAGTCCGTTCGATTGGTTATTAATTAATTATATATGTCGGAAGCTGGCGCAACTCACTAACATTGCTTGATTGTGTTGGGTTCCTTCGCTTAGGCTTACAAAACTTACTCCATAAATTATATATGTAAATAAATTGTTGTAAAGTAGTTATATATTCATGTGTGTATATAATCGTACGAAAAATTGTTGCGTTCAGTGTCGGTGTCATGTCAGTTTCAACTTTGGATCCGGCGCATTTCTGGCAGGGATTGGCTCTGCCCGCGGCTTTAATGACAGCCGGTCTGAACAAACCGATTGTGGTTACTCCCTATCGCGCTGGCGTCAACATCCCGGTGTCTCATCACGCCGTGGCGTTGTTCAGCAGCTGCAGTTTGACCTTGAGTTCCGCGAATGTGGGTCGCTTGGCGGGATTGAGGTCCCAGGCCTGGCGCATCATCTCGTAGATCTCCGGTGGACAGCCCTCCGGTGCTTCCATTTTGTAGCCCACCTCGACGTGCTTAACCACATCGGCTAATGGCTGTAATAGAAAGAAAAGGTTAGCTTAGTTAATAACCTCTTAAGGTATAGTACTCACAATTCTCGGATAAGGCACACGTCCGAAGGAGTAGATTTCCCACAGCAGTATGCCAAAGCTCCACATGTCGGATTTGTTGGAGAAACGCTAAAAGGGCAAAGATACAATACAAATTAGTTGAGATGCGCAACAGTTTCGTGGACAGACAGCCAAACTCACCCCATTTTTGAGCGCCTCGGGAGCCGTCCATTTGATGGGCAGCTTGCCAACGTCGAGATTGTAGCACTCCTCGCGTGCCAAACCGAAATCCGATACCTTGGCCACACATTCCTCCGAGATAAGGACATTGCGGGCTGCCAAATCGCGATGCACAACCTTCTTGGCTTCCAGATACTCCATACCAGAGGCAGTGTCGCTAATTATGCAGAATATTCGATTTAAATTTATTCTAGAGGGAGTTAGATCGGCAAACTTACTAGGCAAAAATGATTTGATCCTTTTTGGTTATGTGCTGTCGTCCGCGCGATCGCAGGTAATCAACCAGTGATCCCTTGCTCATGTACTCAGTAACCAGATACAGATGCTTGCTGGTGAAGACCAGGCCGATGAACTTTACCAAATTGTCGTGCTCCAGAGTACTGAAAGTTTAAACATTTAGAAACTGGACACAATGGAAGGTTATCTAACTTACGTCATAACTGAAGCCTCGGCCAGAAACTTTTGCACGGCGCCCTCATCCTTGAGCATCTTGACGGCCACCTTCTCGTTGCGTAATATGCCCAGCATCACGTCCCCGAACTCGCCTTTGCCGATGCTCTCGCGCAGCTGCAGCTCCGCCTCGGGAATCACCCAGCCCTTGTCCACGAAGTCTTTGGAGTTGATGCAGAACTCTTGTTTGCCCAGCTTGGGCAAGCACTTGATCAGCTGGGTGCACAGCCCATCCGCATCCGCCTCGTAGTGCTGCAGCGATAGATTCCTTTTAGTTTATTCTACATACAGGTTTATATGTCAGTCTTACCGCCACTAGCTGTCCCAAGTTCTCAAAGTACTCCTCATCGTCGATGGTCAGCTTGTTCTCCAGGTACTTCACCCGATAGTGCTCCACCTTCGATTGGAAGCAAACGCAGAGCGTGTAGTCGCCGGGAAAGTTTGTGGACTCGCGCACCAGGAACAATCCGTCCTCGCGGGGCTGCAGCAGGTGCTCCGCCTCGTCTCGCGTTATGCTGCCATGGAACCAGCTAAGAATAAGAGAAGATGATAATGTTTAGTAATTAATATGTTGATAAAACAAGCCCCAAAGGCTCATAATAAGAAATAACTTTCAAGAACTCATTAAGGACATTTAAGTTATCAACTTACGGCATGGCGTTCAGCTTGACCTCGCACCTGGAGCGACCTTGCTGCGGTGCCATTGCCGTGGGCGAGAGGGAGGCGTGGTTCATGGCCGTGGTGGAACCACTCGACCACGCGCTGCTCGCATTCACCCCACTGGCGGTGGCGCCCCCGTTGATATCGAAGCTGTGCAGCGAGGTGGACATGCCCGCCGATCCGCTGCCACCGACGCCAACCACTGGCGCCACCGGCTGGGTTACCTGCGTCGGTTGGGCGGTCGTGTGCAGCAGCATATTGCTGCCGTGCTGGCTGCCACTCAGCGCCAGACTCTTTGGCGGCAGCGCCCGCTCGGCGCCGTGCATTCCCATTTGGGCCGCGTTGAGCGAGGAGGACATCAGACCCGCTCCGCCGGATCCGCCGCAGTTGGCCAGCAGCTGGAGGTGCTGCTGTTGCTGCTGCTGGGCAACGGCGGCCACTGCAGCGGCGGTACCGGCCACCGCCTGCGATCCCGCCGGCTGAACGGAGGCGACACTTGGGGCGGGCGCAAACGTGGACAGTATGCTGTGGTTCGCCTGCTGCTGCTGCTGCTGTTGCTGCTGTTGGCTCGTCTGCTGCTGCTGCTGCTGCGTCTGGCTGGGGGACTTGGGCGAATGATTGCTGGCGCTGCTGATTAAATTATGACTATTAAGCGCATGCGATGACAAATGCAATGCGGCTGCCGCGCCCGCCTGGCTGGGATGCTGTACAACAACAAGAAAAAAGGAGAGCAATGTCAGTAGAGCAATTTAATAAACAGATGCAGTTAGAGGTTGCAACCCACCACATTGTTCTCGCGATGATGATGGTGGTGCGGCGGTATGCTGGGCGGCACAATGTGCGGCTGCGACTGGCTGAGCTGCTGCTGGTGGAGCAGCACCGCCCCCACAGCCGATCCGGCGGCGGGAGTGGATCCCACCGCACCCAGGACCGCATTCGGTTGGGGGGCGGGACGCTTGTTGTGCCGCAACGGTGCGGTGGGCGGCATCTGGTGGCCGGTGGTCTGCAGGAACCATGGATCGCCGGCTGTGCTGCCCGTCGCCGCTGATGCGGCCACCGTCACCGACGGCTGCGAGAATCCGCGATGGTGTCCGACGACCGTGGTTTGTCCGTTCTGCGTGGCGGTCGCGTGGCTGTTCATAGCCGTGCCGGTCGTCGCGGCTGCGGTGGCTTCCTCGGCTGGCGACGGCTGTCTCGGCTTCCTCAGCTGCCCCTGCTTGATCTCAACGGTGATCAGATCACCCTCGCCCGACGCCTTTCTCGAGAGGGGTTCCTTCTCCTTCTCCTTCCGCTCCTCCTTCGTCTCCTTTTGCTTCTCCTTGGCCACCTGCTTCTCCCTGCCCTTCTGGCTCTTCTCCTGGCTGCTCTCCCTGGTCAGGGCTTCTTCGTCTGCAAACGAGAAACACAACGAGTGCGAATGTTAGTCTGTTTCCTTTCAGCTTTATCAATGGGTGATGTTATTTGCTGATATAATGAGGCCAAAAGCATCTAATCTTATCACACCTTCGCACACAACACATATTGACAATGCTATCTGTATTAATTATATTATTTATTCCCTTGGCAATCAGCTGGTCAAATATGTAACTTATTTTATGACCACTCAGGTAATTATCGAACAGATTGGATAGAGTAATGTAATCAAATCAAGTTTTTGGAGTAATCAGAGCTAAATCGATATTTCAGGTTACTTGTGACATAGCTGGAAAAGTGTTATCATTTATCAAGTTTGTTAATCCGCCAATTAAGATAACAAAGAGTTTTGTCTGCTTGCACCAACTGGTGCTCAAATAAATGACAAATTTGTCTTTAGATAAAACTAAATTTAATTTTAATCGTGCAAATCCAACATATCAAAGACATTTTTAAACGAATTTCCAACTTTACATGGCTAGATTCCGACACACATTTCTTGATATGTGATTCTCTGATATATCCAAATGCATTCCCAGATCGAGCTTTGCTTTCCGGATAAACAAGCGGCTCTCGTGATCGGTTCGGGGCCAAACGCACGTTTATTTAATCAGTTAGTCAAGTCAGACGACAAATAGCTGCGATTGCATAAGCAACTTTGGATGCGCAATGATAATTGTTGGTCAACACACTCAAAAGCCCAACTCGGTGATTCAAATGGACACAAATGGCATGTTAATCGGGTGAGCCGAGCGAGTATATTCGCCAAATGTAAAACATTTGCATGTGACGGGCATAATTAAACTCGTTTTACTGCGCACTTTTGGGTTTTGGGCTACCGTTTTTCCCTGGACGCAATTTTGAATTCGGAGGATGAGTCAGATTTAGATTTGTATCGTTTCTCACAAATGCTTACATGCAAAAAAAAAATCTTTGTTTTTAAAGAGAAAAACTATAAGAAATTAGATAGAAAACTTCAAATTAGAAAAAATATTTATAAAAATGCTGGTTCTTGAAAGTTTAAATTAGTTAGTTAAGTAAACGGAGTGAAATAGTTATTTGCTTATTAAAATCATATTTTTTCTACCTTCTTGAAGACATTGTAGTTTGGCGACCAATTTTATTTCTCAATGCTTTCAAAATCTTTTTTTTTCTGTGTGTTTGGGCCACTCCCGAAAACGTAACATGTTTAGCTACCTTTTTCCCTTATTCCCTCTAAAATTTCCATTACTTGTAATTGCGCTGTTTTAGGCAGTGATGCCTCTTCAAGCCGCTTAATTTCTTAATTTTATGCAAATTCCATTAGCGAATCTCGCTCGCTTGGCGGAAACGCGTTTTGCATATTAAATTCTCATTCTGGGACGTGGATTTATCGTGGGAGTGAGTGAAGTCGAGGCGTGGGCATTGTTTAAATAGCGACAGGTTGTCATCCAAGAAGGAAGAGGGCACGGGCACACGCGCAGGTCAGTTTACCGCTCTCCAAAAAAAAAAAAAAAAAAAAAAAAACCAAGACCTTGCCCGTAAATTACTTCGAGCCACATCCGCCATTCGCACCGAAATGAAGTTTCGGTTATCGGGCTAAATTGGTTTGGCATGACTGTTCGAATGCGGGAATCCGTTCAGCAATTGCAGTCGGGCGTACAGTCACAGTCATCGCCGTATCGCCAGTGGCTTCCTGTTCGCCAGAGTCGGAGCTTTGAAGTCACACCCGCAGACAATAGTCTTTATATTTGTGTACTCGCCGCTTATTGTTTCAATTGTTCGGCCACAATGTGATATTTAGCGCTGCTCCGTGAAATATAATTCCAACCTGGATTTTACATAAGTTTGCACTCAGAAAAAATTTAAATTTAAATTCTTCCTAGACTTACAGGTGTTACAGGTTTTTAATTAAATAATTTATATATGAGGAAAATAAAAAAGGGTACCCAAATCAATAGATCTTCGTTTAAGCCTCACAAAAGTGAACTATTCTAATAAGTGCCTATAAGTACTTATTTGAAAAAAAAAAATGTTGTGAAAGATTTTTATTTGTAGAACTTTATAAATTTAGGGTCACTTAAAATGAAAAATATTAGCGGAACGAATTGAATTTTAATGGATTCTGAAAAGTGCAAGGATTTAAATCATAAAGCACAAAGCGTAAAAATGTCACATAGCATTTTAAAATAGTTTATGTTTCTTTGGAACGTTGCCCAGTGACTAACTGCGTTTCTTTAGAACCCGATTAAAGTACGAGGACTTCCGTTTCTCCTGACCTTGACTCACAAAGAATCGTACACTGTTGAGATTGACCCATTCTTATCCCACACAACTCCCAAGAGAGTGAGTCAGAGAAAGAAATAAATATTAACATTGACGAGGAAAAAAGCAAACTTCGGCAACAAGAAGTTTTTGTACTCTACAAAGATAATATTTATCAGGTTTTGTGCAAGAATGCAGACAGGTTATGACAAAGCTCTATTAAATTTTTTAGATAATATACATTAATATATCAAAGAGTTTACTAACAAGTGCAGATAGTAAGTAAGAAAATCTGATAGAAAAGGTATTTATTATATAAACAGAGATCTTTGGTTTTCTGAGTTGCATAATTCATTATACCTCGCTGACAGAATGGAAAAACAATGTATTGCCAGTAAAGTGCCGGGCATAATCTTATATAAAGCCAATGCCCACTCGAACTGTCATCACCGGGAGTGACTTGAGGTCTCTGATTAGTCAACGCCGGTGACAGGCCAATTACTATATCCCCCCGCACCTGTCAATATTTACATCGACGACTTTGCATGTGCGTGATGGGTAGGTATCGTCAGGTGTTGCCACACACCTGTGGCTCTGCCAAGCCAAATGCCTAAAGTAAATAGTGAACAGAAAAACATCGCTGTTCTTGCAAAACCCCAAAACAAAAACACCACAAATAATTAATAACTAAAGGTTGTTTTAGTTGTAGTAAAGCAAAGAATTGTGGAAGCGAGTCGAACATAAACTAACTTTGGAATTCGTAAACAAAATGGGTAAATAAAAGAGGGAGTGCAGAAGAGGTTGGTGATTCGAACACGCTCCTCAAACATAAATCAACCGCTCACAAATGAATAAACAAAGACTGGCAGATGAACATCAAAATGAATATTTGTGTACTGCTTAAAATTTCAAATTATAATAACCAAAACAAAACAATGCATAAAGTTAAATTTAAAGACTGCGATCTGCCGGACATGAGTGCAAAAAGCGTTTAAAAAGGTTCGGTAAAAAGTGCCAACAATAAAATTGAATGATTCATTGGCCATTGGCTGTTCAACGCACATATCGTGCGCGGTACGTATACTTTTGCAATGCACTGTGGACTGGTTGTGGGTGTTGAGCAAAGTCAAATGAAATGCGCAGTAATCCGACTGACTCGATGAGGTAATACTAATTAGCCAAAACCAACGAATATGCACTGCAGAAAATGTGTTAAAAACTCATAAAGCATTTAAAAATATATAAAAACCATTAAGTGACTAAACAATAAAGTTTTTAAACAAGGAAACTTTTTGTTTTAATTGACATTAAGTGCAGCGTGTTTAAGTTTCATTTAGTCTGAACAAGAAAATAAATTAATTGGCTTTCTGTGCGGCTTTCTGTTTCACTCTAATGGATTTATTTTCCTTTAACTAATTCCTCCGCTAAAAACTAAAGACTCTTGTTGGGACTAGTACTTAATACCCAACTGTTTCATTTAATCCCCATGAACATCCCAGTTAGCTAATGAAAGCTTCTCTGTATCCAGCTGTAGTTTTGTCTGCCAGCCCGACGATTTCACCCTTGGGCACCAGACTTGGGAGGAAATTGTACATATATACCAAGTGAGCAGGAGATTGGGGAAAACAGTTCAACACCTATGGAGCTAACAAGTACATACGTGAGAATCTTTTGTATAGCTTCCTTATTGTTTGAGTTAGTGCAGAACACACACACTCCGCAAGACTAACAAAGAAAAATTAATTATTTTTTAACCGGAGTTTTAAATACACTTGCAGTAGCTTATAAAATGTTCTTTTTAAGAAGTGTAATTATGTTCACAAATATTATTAAAGGAACAAAATACGCAACACAAAATAGGAAATGAAATGTGTACATCAAAAACCTCATGTTGAAATAACAAGTTTGAAATGAAATAAGGTATCATATTTTTGAAGATAACCTTACATGAACTATATACAGCTGATTCATTTTGCTTTCTTTTAATTTAAAATTATATACACGTCGTACGTTCCGCGATAATCTTTAAATTTTAAAAAGTTTATATTTCCGTTTCAAAAGGTCCAAAAATAAAACACCGTATATATGTATGCTGTTTTTTTCACCTGCGCCTTGCCAATTTCTGTGAATAATTGCACTACCCGATGGCGCGGTATTAACATAAACAAATACATATATAGAGCAACCGCTGGGAGGAAAGGGGGACCACGTTTCCGACATTCTCACACTCTTTTTTTGTCTTCAGGAGCAGAGGGGCCGTAACGACAGGTAAATACACACGGCAGACAATCATTTCTGCACAAAGTCAGTCAACAGTTGCCGGTGGTTCCTGGGCCATTGTGTTGCCGCCAGTTGGAAAGTGCAGGCCGAAAGAAAGGTAACCTTAGTCAGTCAGTCAGTCGCTGGGTTTCGGCCAAAAAAGGGGGGAGTACGAGTAAGGGAGAAAAAGCCATGAATGGAACGCGAGGTGCCCATGAATGGCGTGTGATGGTTTTCGCCCGGTGCTCAGAAATTTGCATATCGCATGCGAGGCGATGGGCGGCAGGAAAACCGCAAGCAGGAAGAAGGAAGACTACACCTCTGATAAAGAAAAGCACACAGGTACACGTTTCTGCTAATTACACGGTTAGCTGCCTCATGTGGTTGACCCTGAGTACGGAGAATCGGAGGTGGTCGTTCGGGTGGCCAATTCTGCGGCCGAAGATCCCTTCCCCATCTCCAAATCTCGGCTGGGTGTCTTAGAGCAGCCGCAACTGGACACCGCTGACGGCGGAGCTCGTTGGCTCTTTGGCCATTTATTGCCCAACAGTAAGACCATAATCCAATACCCCAGTCCAATGTCAGCGAGTGGAGAAAAAAGAATTCGGACGCTTAGAGCGGCTTGAAACTCAATCTGCGGACTGGTTGCAACACCAGCCACAACAATTGGGAGCAGGGCTGAGTCGTTGACTGATGGAGATATGAATTTGTAGGGTTTTGCTTACAACATACTTTAAGTATTTCAAACAAACTTTAAGCTAATCTTTTAAACTGAGATATAGAATTTAATTGAATTTAACTTTATTATGATATATATATATGTATCATAATCAAATGTTTGACTACTACCAAAGCCAATCACATACTTTCTTCAGAATATATGCTTTATAATATTTCCATTTAAAGATCTTACTAAGGTACTAACCAAACCAATCCTCTGCGCTGGCGATTGGCGGCAGCGATCGGGAGGACTGCTCTCCGCTTTTCTTAGTCTTTTCCCGGGAATCACCTTGGGATTTGTCTTTGGTCTGTTGCTGTTCGGTTTTGGTTTTGGCCGCCTGGAACTTTCGATGAGCGCACCGTAGGAAGTTCAGCAGCCGAGCATCGATGGGCGGGGAGGAATCGTGTTTGCCAGTGGGTGCAGTTGGAGTACTCCGTCCCGTAGTTGGAGCATACTTGTCGCAGAAGTAGAACTCCCGCCGGCGGGGAGGAGCGTAGGCTGCACTCAAACTGCTGCACAGGAGGATGGGCTTGCGGCGTGCCCGGGAAATCACCTGACCACCACTGTGGGTGGCGTGGGTGGTTGCCTCCTTGTGGGTCAAGCTACTCGCGCTGCGTGAGAGTCCCGATCCCGAGATGGTTCCCACCGCTGATCCCTCCCTGCTCTGCTTGCACCAGTAAATGTCCTTGCTGCCAAAGTAGTAACGTCGCCGCGTGTCCTGCCCTCCGGATCCTCGCTGATTGCGTCCGACCACCGATCGATTGGATCGCTTGCTGGAACTCGAAGCCGATTGACTGCCGCTGCTCGTCTGCGAATTATCACTCTCGTTGTTCGAATTTGAAGGCGATGCGGAGGCGGATTTCAGTGCCCGATCCGAGGAAGCCGATCCCGATGCACCTGCTCCACTCGAAGGAGCCGAGGGCATGAGGTACGAGTTGGACTGGATGAAGACGCCATCGCAGGTTATCTTAATTGTTGTCACCATGTTCCCGCATTGCGTTCACTTTCGCTGATCGATCGCGTTTTTATTGGTTTTTATTGCACTAACCTATGATCTTGCTTTGATGGCGCAATTGGGCTTTGCAGCTATATATCAACTTTTATAAATGGTAAAGAATTACTTTATTGCTCCTATCAAATGAGAACATATTAAGCTTTAAATTGGCAATCTTATAAACAAATTCTTTTTAATAAGGCTCAAGTGCTTGTTGAAAAGAATTTCAGTTCCCTAGTTCTATCTGCTTGTGCCCCATACTTTCCCATCTTTCTAATTTCCAGTTTCAATATACATTTTTTTTTCAGTGAAAATAGGAGATAGTTCTAATGGATGGCTTTGTAAGTGCACAGTAGCAGCTACTGCAAATAGAAAGAACCCCATTCCACCCTGTCGTAGAACTAAAATCGAGGCTAATGCCCAGTCCGAAGTGGACAAAGGCCGGCAAATTGTTTTCGTTGGTAATAATACTAATTAAGGTTCTGTAAGCGCGTCGATTTGGTATCGGACAGAATCGAGGTAGCCACAATGGACAACTGGGCGGAATCAATACTGAAGCGACCGGGGCAAATAATAGCGAGCAAAAAAGCGCAAATGGAAAATTTCTAAAGAGAAAATTGAAGCTTGAAAAAAAAAGAATCAAAGACAAATGGAATAAAAGCCAGGCCTGGAGAGATAGAGAAAATAGAGAAAAAACTCGAGGTGCCTTGATGCAGAAATTAATTTCATTGCGAAGAGGGGCTGCTGTACCTCTTCGGTACTCCACTAAATAATAACAACTCTATGTTTTTCTTTTCGCTTTTTGCTTTTTGGCATTCCTCGTTGGCAAGTCAATTCGCCACATTAACGGTTTGTCAGCGGCTTACTGAAATAGTCGACAATGGCTTTGAGTGCTCCACAAACAGCTGAAAACGCTGGTTGGGCCAAAATCGGTTGCCATTCCATGTTGCCTTATTTCACTGGGTTGGGAAAACACGAACCAGTCGCCTGAATTGAATTGGAATTTACTGGAGCTCTGGCTACATATTGTGCAAATAATTTGGGCGTGGGAACTTCGCGGTCGACGTCGACTGAGGAGCGGGCAGAGAGAGCTATTGTTTATCCCTAGACAGGTGGCAAACGTTGGGAAAGTTCGTGGATAGAAAGAGATATATGTGCCCGGTTAATGGGGTGTATGGTTGTAAGCAAGATAGGGTTGTTAATTAGTCGGTAAATTTATGGTGCTACGGATATCTTTTCCAAGAAGAGTGAGCTAAGTAACAGCTTATCTATAAAACAACATGTATTTCAACCAATTGCTTTGCTAAAAGAGTTTTAAGATCTGATGTAGCTTTCATTTGCGATTCCCCATAGCTCCCAATGAATCTTCACTTTCTTTGCTGGGTTGAGAATTTTCTTTGGTTAATGTCAGACCACAATTAACTATGCAAATGGGCCAGAATTGGGCACGTGGAAAGTGATTGCTTATCATGACCCACAAAGGAACCCAGGGCCAAATGAAATTCTCCGCACGTTGAGTGTCGTTGAATGGGAAAAGCGTTTGGTCGGCTGAAGAAGCACCCAAAAAGACAACAAAACTAATTAAATAAAACAATAACAGAATTATGTATGACACAACGAGTTTCTGTCGCCGCTGACGAAATGCCAAATGAAAAGCAAAAGCCACAAAGTCAAATCAAAATAAAGGCCAAAAATCTGAGCTGTTGACTGAAACAAAGTGGGCAATAAGCGAAGAGAAAAGCCAGGCAAGACAATGGGCCGAGTTTCTTGGCCTGGTCGAAATGCGTAAGCTTGCTGGTCCGGATATCCTCGGAATTGGCGGGCTTTTGACTGCGTTTCGAATCGGTTTTGATACCCGGCGGCAGTACCTGTTGCATATATCATTTTGGCAGGCGGCAGGCAGTGAAAGTTTCACAATACCCTGCCTCAAAAACGGTGACTATCAAATGGACAAAAAAAACCCGAATGAACAGCAATTTGGCCCGAGTCAAAGAGCATTTAGCATTCGCCATTGTTTCCGTCCATTCCGGGGCTTAATTAATAATTTAAGCTTTACAATTACTTCAACGTGCCAGGCACGCATTTAAAAGAAAATGAAGAGAGTCCAAGTTGAGAAATGAAAAATGAAATGCGCCATTGGCTATGGAGTGTTAAGACCGATGGCGGGGGGCAAGACTTGGCCACTTGGAGGGTTAAGCTCGTCTTCACTGGTGTGCAGTGAATGGCAAATTGAATAAGTGGATGGAAAACACATAAAAGCCGTGTACAGAGCCAAGAAAACATAAAAAATTGTTTCACGCGTCTGCAGTTGAAGTTTTTCTCCATTTCAATTTTTTTTTTTGTCCACTTTCACTCGGTCCAGTCGGCTTGGAAATACAAATTTCAGCAAAGAGTCGGACTCGCTCAGGATGACGTTCAGCGAATTAGTTTCCCATTCAGAGAGCGTTGGCGAAAACTAGTTACAGTTTAAGGCGCCGGTTTTTTTTTTGGTTTTTTGTGCCTTTTTTTTTTGGCCGATTAGAGCGGCGATGACTAATGCGCTGGAAAATTGAAAATGCCTCGACACGCCAGCCTACAATGTTTCTTGTTTTGCTGTCTTTTTTTCCGGTTTTTATTTTGTCAAAGTCGAATGTCTGCACGTCGCCAAAATTAGCGTGCAAATCGATTGCGCAGAGGGTTTAAGCCAAGTGATTCATGCAATTTTGGGATCAGCTGCGGTCCGTAGTTGCATCTGGTATCTGGTATCGGATTAAAATGTGCAGTTAGAGAGCGAGAAGAATGGAAGAATAAGCGAAGAAATCGCAGTAATGGGATCCTGGGGCTGGGGGAATTCAATCCACGGAGACCTGAGAAAACAATTAGCACTTTGTGATTGAAGTTGGCCCGGTGAAAACTTGGCAGTCGGAGGGGGGAATGCATAGGAGTTAACATGCTGCCAAGGCACTTTCATTCGAGACTTTCAAACAATCAAATATGCAGCGGTGCGATCGTCTTCATCAGTTGTACACGAAAAAATTACACGGCGAATAATTTAATGTGAAACTGAATGCTTAAGGAAAGTAGATAATTATATAGCCGTACCTATTATTAATTAAATGTTTATTAATTAAATTTGTATTTGTTTGTTTACCAACTACGTAATCTATAATATTAATCTCTCTTTTACTACTTTACTCAAAAACTATTTTCGATTTTGTCTGTGCATGCCTTGAGCAATATCAAATTAACCGCAGACACACTCAAACACTGATTGCTACTAATGTCCGATGTATCTGACCCAAACCCATAATTAAGCGGACATCCCCAACATGGCAAACGAATCAAAAACCAAGCACACAAAGGTCATTGCGCCACCAGAGCCGTATCAAAAAATTAGCTATATAGTCAAAAGACATTCAACGATCAGATCCATAATCTGAAAGCCCAAGGAAGCTCATCTCCCTCTCTTCACTCTTTGTTTCACTTTCTTCGCACTTTGTTAATAATTTGCATAAATCACTTCCTTGGGGTGCCCACCGAATGCCGAAAAAATATTATTCGCGCTTGTATAATTAATTTTTACAATAGCGATATCAACAATTCGAATTCGCGTGGTTACATCACGAGCGTCTGCCTTTTGTATTGCATTGAACGCGGATTATCAAAAGGCCACTTTGCATACCGTCATAATTTATTGTTATTATATATTGCAAAAAGCCAATTGCGATCGAATCAATCGTTGGCCAATTCGCACACACGCGATGATGAGCTGCGCATGCGTGGCGAGCGGTTTTATTATTTTCGAATTTGAACACAACCGCGCGCTTTGCCTGCAAGTTTTCAACTGAAAACCGCTGCACGAAGTTGCCCCGAGACCATGGTAGAATACGTATAAGGTAGTCTCGTCGGGTGTGACAGACCCTTAACAACCAATACTTGCTGCAATAACTGCAATAAGTAATTTTTCTTTTATACACAAGGGTTAAGATTAACGGACTGCAGCCGATGAGACTACCTTATACTTATTCTACCATGGCCGAGACTGAGTCACGATAAACAAACTAAACCCTATGTTCAAAAGAGAGCGCTTGCCAAGCTTTGATTTTCTTCGTGTCAGTAAGCCGGCTTCTTCTCTTTATCGGCTAAATCGCATGCGATAAAGAGCGGACACTCGCATGCGATCGCCCACCTGCTGCACTTTTGGCCACTGATACGGTTTTGCCTTTTCAAAGCGTCCCGCAGTGTAAATGAAATCAAAACATGTGTTGCCTAACTCATTAAGCCAAATTTGGCGTTTCAAGTTGTTTCTGTGGTCTCGCTTTTGGCCAGGCCAAAAGTAAGCCATATTGTGGTTGTCACAAGTAACACAGAAAACCTAATCAAAAATGTTTAATTTATCAAAAAGTTTAAGCAGCGTTTAAAAGCAGTAAATCTTAAAAACTACAAAAATTACTATAATCAATAAAAAATATAACTGAACAGTAACTTTTGACTTCTCACAATTTCTTTATTTCAATTAAAATAAAAGTTTTTGATTATTTTATTGGTTTAGTCAATAAGGCATCCCTATTTTAATTTATTTATTTTAATTTGTTAAAATGTTGTTGTATGTTTCTGCAGTGCAGTTTGTGACATAGGAGACTTGTGCCCAATGTGATCGCAGTTGCAGACACTCATTCAGAAACATTGGAGCTTTGTGGATCGGATCGATTTCCTTTCTGTTTCGTTTATTTGGTCTAATTGCCGCCGCTGGCCATGTTAATTAATTCCCCCATTGTCAATCCCCTGTCCCCTTTTTCTCTTTTTATCGTTTCGACTTGTATGGCAAATAGTTTTTGCATGTTTACTTTTCGTCTCAGTTTCCAGGCAATTTGTTGCCGCTGTCGAATCAGTTGTTTGCAAAAATTTAGACATCAAAATGTTTATTGTTTCTTTCTCATCCAGCGTTTGCAGTTGCAGTTGCACAGTTCGTGATTTTCTACGATTTTTCTCTTTGGCATTTTTTTTTGCATATTTGCAGAGCAATTAGCATCAAAGTGAAGTCGGAACTGTGAATAGAGAAAACCAGCAGGAGATTTCCTGACGTCACCAGTTCTCCCTGCGAATTCGCCTTGCAAACCGAATAGCAAGTAGATCAAAGCGAGGGATTTGTGCTTAAAATAACCGCAAACCAACATAAACAAACAAACGGAAAAAAGCGCAAATATGTAAAGAAATTGTGTGCGGGGCAACAAAATGAGAGCAGTAATTATTAAAGGAATGAGAGATTTCAACGGTTCCAGATAACATCTATCTGCACCGTATAAACAGATAAGGCCCATTTCATGGTACCTGTGCAGTGAAAAAGATTTTAAATTGTAGGGTATACATATTACGATTATAAGGGTGTTCTAAAAAAAAAAAAAACATAAAAGCAAAAAAATTTAAAGTCCTTTAATAAAAAATTGAAAAAGTATCATTGTAGTTAACGTTAGAAAAATAAAAAGAGTTAAAATTTTGATAATAAAAGAAAAACAGTCAATAAACTGTAATACTTTACTAATAGAATTACGAAATGTGTTTTTTATGTTTCTTATTTGTTATAAAATTATCTATGGAACTGAGGATCCCAAGTCACCTGCAGGGCACAGGTACAATGGTTTATTGCCAATCCGACTAATTAAAATTGCAAATTCCAATTAGCATTCCAATCAGTCCAGAGTACAGTGGTCATGCAAAGGCGTAATTAGCCCAAGTGAAAATGGCAGAGATACTCGTAATAAGCGCAATAAAGGGAATATTGAACAGTAGGCGCCAAAAGTTAGTCGCTCATTCCAATGCAAAAAGTTCACGCAACACTGACCTCACATACACACATCCCAACAAATCCACTCACACAGATACAGATGGAGTATAACGCCCACGCATGTTGCAATATACAAACAAACAAACAAACGGGATACAGAGAGCGTAAGACAGAGAGGGGTGAGTGGGTGGTGGTGGGGGGAGCTTTGTGGCGCCTACGTGTGACGTCAGCGCACGAAAATTTTTGCCGACGACGCAGAAACTGACCGAAAAGACGACACAAAAGTATTACTACGAACGGAAATACATAACAAAAACTACGATGCGCCACGCTTCGGTTATTGCCTTTAATTACTACTGTGGTTATCGTTTTTGTTGTACGCATTGGTCATTCATGGCCCGATTGTTACCTATATGTACATATATATACATAAAACTTCGTGTGTGTGTCTGTTTGTTATTCAAAAACCTCCACAACAACAAATTTCGCGCCGCAAAGTTGTAAAACGTGTTTTTGTTTTCGCTTTGATTCGAACCAAAATGCGTAGTTTTTTGTGATTTTTTATTATTATTATTTTTGCTTTATTTGTGATTTTGCTTTCGTTTTGAAGCCAACTAGTTGACCTCAGACAACAGCAATAAAATACAAATATAAAGAAGCTGCAAATAGTTGACCCAAAAATAGGCAAACATTTACAGTAAACTCTCAGTTAAAAAAAACTTTTCGTAGTTATAGATTAGTAAAAGCATTACATACTTCGGGATAAAATAATATACAATTTTAGTTTATATTATGGAAGTTTTACAGTATTTCACTACATTGACCTTAGTTTTTCTTGTTTCTTTGTATACTGTGTTTTTTTTTATGCTTGAACGAGTATTTATTTTGGTTGATGCCATTTTCATATGCATTATAATTATATATATAATGAAGAGCCTACTTTAATTGTTTGTTTTTCGTCTTCGGAATTCCGTAAGTCTATTTGCAGATTATTTTTTGTTTTCTCGTAATTTTTTGTTTGCAGAGTTTCGATATCCTTCTTTTGCAAGCTTTCGTCACTTTCACACCCACACACATACACGGACATACTCACACAAGGACAAGTGTATTAAGGAAGCAGACAGCGCGACGCTGCAAAAAAGGGCGTTGGGCGGAGTCCTTTAAACGGGCTCAAAAACAAGTAATACCGAAACTAAACAATAAAATCATTTTGCTTACCCGATTTTCGATGCTGTTTTTCTGGATTTTAGCTATAGTTGTTATGATTTGTTGGTCTGTTTTTCTCTGTTTTGTTGTTGTTTTTGTTCCTCGTTAACATTCCAATCCGACGCTGCTGCGCTGCCGACGTCGCTGCGTACTGCCCTGGCTGTGCTGCTGGCGCTTCAAGCCATCAGCCACATGCACATTTCATTTGAATTATCACGCATATATAATAAGGTGTATCGTTATATATTTATAAACATTTGCACCACCTTTCCGATCCGTTCCGATATATATGGGGAAATATATAAATACACATAAACACTTGCACAAGCACTCTCACGCACACACACACGCGCACGCTGCCCAACAACTGGCTGCTGGTTTTGTGGAATTTTCGATTCTGTTCTCCGTACTTTCGGCCCTCTTCCGTTGATGCTGATGCATTTCCGCACTCGCATCCGCTTCAGTTCAGGCCAAGCATGGCGTTCGATTATATTGAAATTGCTCAAACAGTCCGCAGAACGGGCGACATTAATTTAAACAAAAAATTCACACGAGAGCAGAGCGGCCATCTTGCGCTAGTGTTGTTCAACTTCTTGGCTGTTTTCCGTGTGACCAGACAAAGCTAGTGCAGGAACGTCTGAGAATGGGTGGTTGTACACTGTTAGCTATTTTCAAGCTACGGTTAGTTTTGTATACTCCCATTCTGAAGCTTAAGAACTCATGTAAAATATGGATTGTTTCCAACAAGCTTGATTTAAAAAAAACTGAAGAATGCTTTCTTTTGACAAATGAAAAGCGTGAAATTTGAAGGTCTAGAACGTTTTCGCTCCCAACATGAATTTATCATAATTGCAAACAGCTGATTAAAACATTTAAATAAATTTGGGGAATACCCCTGTTGCGTGTTATTTACCAAAATCAGCAGCTAAATTAATAGATCTGGTCACATAGTTCCACACGTGCAATATTTACGAAAGATGCGCAATCTAAAGCTGCAATATTGCAAGAAGCTGGATGCAGTGGTCCATCCCCGCCATCTGCTGCTGCAACCGGACTTGGACGGCGACGCCTCGGAGACATCCTTCGTGGTGGCCGATAACAAGATCTACGCAGTGCGGGAATCTGGAGACATCGAGCCCAAATTGATTGCCGATTTGCCGGATATTGTGGGTGTGGAGTTTCTACAGTTGGACAATGCGATCTGCGTTGCCTCTGGTGCTGGGGAGGTGCTCCTGGTTGATCCCCAAACGGGCGCCACCAGCGAGGGCACCTACTGCGACGTGGGCATCGAGCGCATGGCGTGGTCGCCAAACCAAGAAGTTGTGGCCTTTGTGACCCGCACCCACAATGTGGTACTGATGACCAGCACCTTTGATGTGATCGCCGAGCAGCCGCTAGATGCAGAGTTGGCGCCGGACCAGCAGTTCGTCAACGTGGGATGGGGCAAAAAAGAGACTCAGTTTCATGGATCTGAGGGAAAACAGGCTGCTAAGCAGACTACAGACGACTCCAAATCCAAGCAGGACTGGCAGGAGCTTAATCAGGTGAAAGTCAACTATTAAATATTTAAATACACCAACTAATCTTTTATAATCCCCCGCAGGAAGTAAATATTTCCTGGCGCGGCGATGGAGCCTTTTTTGTTGTGTCCTATGTGGCCGCCCATGTTGGTCGCACCTTTAAGGTGTACGATTGCGAGGGCAAACTGCATCACACTGCCGAGAAAAGTGTTGATCTTCAAGAGGTGGTAGCCTGGCGTCCGTCGGGCAATTGGATTTCCCTGCCCCAGCGCTTTCCCAACAAGTCTACCATCGCTCTGTTCGAAAAGAATGGCTTGAGGCATCGCGAGCTAGTTCTACCCTTCGATCTGCAGCAGGAACCAGTTGTGCAGCTGCGCTGGAGCGAGGATTCTGACATACTGGCCATAAGGACAGCTACCAAAGAGGAGCAACGGGTTTATCTGTACACGATAGGCAACTACCACTGGTACTTGAAGCAGGTGTTAATTTTCGATCAAGTGGATCCCCTAGCATTGCTTCACTGGGATACGCGGATGGGAGCCGAGCACTCACTGCACATTCTCAAGGAAAGCGGCAAGCATTTAGTCTACCGCTGGGCCTTTGCCGTGGATCGACGCGAGCGTAGCGGCGTCGTGGGTGTCATCGATGGCAAGCGCCTGCTGCTCACGAATTTCTCCACGGCCGTGGTTCCGCCACCCATGAGCCAAGGAGTTCTGGAGCTAAACAACTACATCAATGCCTTTACCTGGTACGAGACAAGTGTGTGTGTGTACACCTGCGACCGCAAGATGTACTTCTATGAACAGTTGTACTCCATGGAACAATTGATCAAGCAGAAACCACAAGCCACTCTACTTGTGCCGGATGCAGAGCTTTCCCGTTTGACACTGGCCAATCTCACCTACTTTACGTGTGATAACCTGCTAGCCACCCACAGCTCGGGAGGATCCACGCGCATCTTGCTGCTGAACAAGGAGGTCGACGAGGATGAAACCAACGAACAGGGCGAGCCATGCTATAGGGTACAGAGTTCCCTGCGGATCAGTGGGCTAGTTAATGCCCTGACCATTGGGGCCAACGCGTTAAATGAGTTCTATGTGCAAACAGTTAACAATGGCCACACCTACGAGGTGTCCCTTAAGGCAGACAATTCACTCAAGGTGATGCGAACCCATGTGCAGTTGTCTCAGCCAGCTGATGAGATCCAGTGGTTCAACATCATCAGTGACTCAACAGGTAGCTATATCATTTTATCAGCATGAATCCTTAATTATTTGTTAATAATAACCTTGTTATCTCCCAGGCGGACTTATAACGCTTCGCAATCAGCAGCTTCTCCACATGGATGGGTATCGCATTGCTGAGGATGTCACCTCATTCTGTGTGGTTGGCAACTATTTGGCCTACACCCAACTTAACGCACTGCACTTCGTTCGTCTAAGGGATCGCCGACAAGTGGCGAGCAGGAACATTGAACGCGGTGGCAAACTGGTGACGGGAGTGGCCAAAGAGGCCCGAGTGGTGCTGCAGCTTCCGCGTGGCAATTTGGAAGCCATCTGTCCGAGAGTGCTTGTCCTGGAGTTGGTTGGCGCTCTTCTCGATAAGCAGCAATACAAAGAGGCCATGAAGATGTTGCGTAAGCAACGACTCAACCTGAACATCATTTGCGATCACAATGTTAAACAGTTTGTGGATTCCGCGGGCAAGTTTCTGTCCGATATCGATCAGAGTCAGTGGCTGTGCCTGTTCTTGAGTGAGCTGCAGAACGAGGATGTCTCAAAGGGAATGTACTCCAGCAACTACGAGGTGGCCAAGCAGACCTATCCCCCGGACTTTCGGGTGGAGCAGAAGGTGGAGTACATATGCCGTCTTTTGGGACAGCTCATGGAACCAACCACATCTCCAGAACTTGTGGAGCGCTTCCGTCTTCCTATTATCACTGCCTATGTCAAATTGGGTCGTTTGGAGGAGGCTCTTCAGCGCATTTGGGCCGCTAAGCAGGAAGATCCAGCTCTGGCAGACCAGTTGTTGAAATATCTGCTTTATTTGGTAGACGTCAACGATTTGTACAATGTGGCCCTGGGCACGTACGATTTTGGACTGGTTTTATTCGTTGCTCAAAAATCTCAGAAGGATCCGAAGGAGTTTTTGCCCTTCCTCAACGAACTGAAGGCATTGCCCACGGACTATTGCAAGTTCCGGATCGATGACCATCTTAAGAGATACGCCACAGCACTTCCTCATCTTGCTGCTTGTGGAAAGGAGCACTACGAAGAGGCGCTAGATTTTATTCGAAAGCATGGTCTTTACACAGTTGGCTTGTCTTGCTACCGAGAACACACGGAGTTTCACAAGAGCATCTGTGTTGCCTATGCGGATCACCTGAGGGCCAATGCCAAGCTGGACAACGCCAGTCTTATGTACGAGCGCGGCGGACAACTGCAGCAGGCGTTACTCAGTGCCAAGCACACACTCGACTGGCAGCGCGTCCTGGTGCTGGCCAAAAAACTGGGTGAACCCCTAGACCAGGTGGCACATTCCCTGGTGGGGCCGCTGCAACAGCAGGGTCGCCACATGGAAGCCTATGAGCTGGTAAAAGAGCACGGTGGCGATCGGGAGCGGCAGTTGGAAGTGCTGCTAGAGGGTCATCTCTACAGCAGGGCCATCTACGAGGCGGGTCTTCAAGATGGAGATGCGTTGGGTAAGACTTGATTTCTTATATAAATCAATGTCATTTGTTAACTTTCCATTTTTTTCTTTAGCGGAGAAAATCGCCCCCGCGCTGCTGGCCTATGGAGCTCAATTGCAAAACTCCCTGAACGCCGATTTGCAGCTCTTCCTGGATTACAAACAACGTCTGTTGGATATCCGGCAGCGAAATGCAAAATTCGGGGAGGGAGATGGCAATGCGGATGTGGATCTGGACGAGGCGGACCTTCTGTCCGACACCACCAGTCTGCACTCCTCGCGCTACAGCGGCACCTCGCGAGGCACCGGGTAAGCTAATGGATGCTCCACTGCACCCGACCAGAGTTTCACTTTTTCATCGTTTTCCTCCTTTTCAGCAAGACATTCCGCTCGAGCAAAAACCGACGCAAGCACGAACGCAAGCTACTCAGCCTGAAACCGGGCAACCCCTTCGAAGACATCGCGCTCATCGATGCGCTGCACAACCACGTCACGAAGATCGCCCAGCAGCAGCAGCCTGTGCGTGACACATGCAAAGCGCTCCTTCTGCTCGACAGTGCGGCAGATGGGGATCCACTGGCCGCTGCACTGCAGCGCGAATTAAAGACACTGCTGAACGTGGTGGAGGAGTCGCTGGACGAGATCTGGACACCAGAGCTCGTAGGCAATGGCACTTCGTTGGCGCAGCATCTGACTGGACCCAATGTGGACTACCTGGCCCTGCAAAAGGAGCAGCGCTACGCCTTGATAAGTGGGTATTTTCAGCTAGGATTACAAAATCATAGTATTAAGAGAGAAATTGTTTTTAGTTTAACCATGAAATTAGTTTTGAATATCATTATAAAACGCTTGAGATAAAAGTTATCTAAATAGTCGATAGGTTTAATGTAACATTTTGTTTAGTTTTTAGAAAACTAGATAACAAACATAGATCATAACATAATGAAGACTTGAAATTGTTACTAAGTCGACTCCTAAATTATCTTTGCTTTCTTGTCTAATCTTTTCATTTTCAGGTCCCCTCAAGCGCTTCAAACCGCAACTTAATCTGATGGACTGGCAGCACGAGATCCTCCAGTGAGTCACCGCTGGGATCACTGGATTTGCGTGCAGATCTTTCATCCTCCCCCAATCCGTAATCGCCTAACCCATCCCCCATTTTACTTTCACTGCTGTGGAAATAAATGTAGCATTGAAATGCTAATTGAATGTATCGAGTTTATACAAATCGAAGCGAATGCAGTGGGCAGATGAGTGCCATTCCAGTGCCAGGCAGCTGGCAAAAGTGGGCGGCATCCAATTCAATTCGTCTTTGATTTGAAGCTATCACTTTTATTAGGGGGCGTCGGCCCTTAGTTATCATTTACACGAAACTACGCCCATTATTTTCGTACTTCGGAAAACATATTTCCTGATAATTTCCTGTTGCTGCTGCAGTCGAGCGTTTTGTTTGACAAACAAAAACCGTAGAAGGTTGGAACCGGTTTCACCTGTCCGGGATTTGTTGTGGGCGTCCATTGTTGCCAGGTAGCCGTGGTGAAGACATTGGGACAAAAACGTTCTTAAAAGGAATATAATCCATGCAGGTCCAATCCTTGTTTTCAAAGGAACATTTATCAAAATTTAATCATTTAAATATTTTCTGGAATCAAGTTTTTTATCATTTTAGGTTATTAACAAATAAAATTAGAAATATTTAAAAATTTAGTTTGAAGGGATTTCTTCCATCATGAAAATATATTATTAACAAGTAAAATCTATCTAACTACCTAAACCCTTTACATACAATAGAAACAAAGTAGCATTAGAATTACTTACTCTACTTGCAATTAAGTTGAATTATCCACTTGTAACCATCTCTTGGATCGTAAGTTCGTTAATGGACTGTTGGAGCCGACGAGACCACTGTTTACGATTTCTACCATGGTCGCTGCGAGCTCCACCACAGTGGAACCACAGTGGAAAAGGCAAAATTATTAATCAAAAAATCACCGGACGAGTCGGACGTGTGCGCTGCTGGATGCTGGCGCTCTTTTCGCGTACCGTTTTTTCGAGTAAACAACAACACAAAAAGATTGTTAACACAATTTTTCGTCTGTTCTATTGTGCGGAAATCGAGTGAGTGAGAGAGGGAATAAACAAAAACCGCAAGCAAAAGCAACAAGCGTGTGTGGGAAGAGGAAAACGAAAGGGGAAATAGTGTGTTTCTAAACGTGTGTGCGAGTGAAATATGGAAATTGAAAATGCAATTAATCGCAAATTAATGGCAAGCCATAGAAAGCGCTCAATGGTTTAAAGTGCAAGAGAAAAGTGTAGTTATTGTTATTGTTGTCAACACGGAAGCCAAAAGTCTGGCGAAAATAAACGTGTATTTATTTTCGCTTTTGCAGCAGCAACAAGCCGTTAAGCAGAGTGCTGAAATAGTCAATTTACAATTGGAGCTGCCAAGAAGTCTATATATAAAACATAAACAATTTGGTAAGTCTAGCTTTATTTACTCTCTTTCTGTCTTTTTGCGGCTATTTGCTCTTAATACAGGAAAAAATTTGTTTGGCTAATCAATTTAAGAAATTATCATGTAATTTTTAAGCACGAAATAGAAACTCGTTTTTAATTTGTACACTTATCATTTAGCGATAGTTAATAACAATAAAAAGGTAACAGAATATTTATGTGTATGATATAGTTTTTTTTTCTGTGCATTTGGCGCTCTCTGAGAGTGGGGATCACATCACAGTGGTCAAACCCGCAAAACGACTTTCAACATCATTCGTCTCCTTGATGTTTTTGCTATTTTCGGTTGTTGTTGTTTTTTGTTGCTGTGGCAGCTTTTTTGTAGTTTGTTTTTCTACTTCTGACTTGCTGCTGTTTTTTATTTAATTGCGCTATTGTTATAATCATATTTGGTTTTTGTGCGCGCCAGAAAATATCGCACTAACTTAATTTTCGCACATGTGGAAACGCTGGCAATTATTTAATTAAATGTGCCATAATATTTGTCCATTGGGAAACGTGGAACATTTCCTGAGAAACTGTTCCCTCTAATCGTAAAAACGGGAAAATTGAAAAATACTTTTACGGTTTTCTCCGTGACATTAGGTAACTTAAAAATGTATGAAATTAAAAATGAGTTGAAACAGTACAGGTTTTTTAAACTGTTAAAATATAAATATTTATAGTTTAATTTCTTTGCATTGTTGTAGTAAATTTTGAAAAATCTTTAAAAGTTTTCCTTTTAAATTGCAAACTTCACCTTCAAGGTACCTGCAGTACTAATTACCGTGATTTTATTTTGTTACCTAAGGTTTTATGATTTAAAAAAATTAATTTAGCACGTTCGCCCCTGCAGTTCGACTGTAAATGCAGAAATTTTTAACGGCCCGTTTCAATGCCAATGGCATAACTACAAAGAAACTCGGGGTTTAATCTTCTTGCCACCTGCAGTTCTGCAGCAAAGTCCAGCGATGCGTTAACCAGAGACCTAAAGCTAAGCGATCCATTCAAGCCTCTTCAGAATAATCCCCAATCCCATCTCAGTCAGAATGGAAAGCTGCCGGCGAAGGCCGCAGACAGTAATTTAATTAGAGGTTACTTAGCAAGAGCCGCCGCCGCAGAATCAACAAGCAACATTCAACAATTGTTGCAACTTCAGCTTGCACGCTGCAACCACAGAACAAATGCGATGGCAAAGACGCTGTGAATGCATTATGTATGTGCGAACGGGCAACATAAATCGCTTGGTAATGGGCCTGGGCTAATAAAGAAGCGTTTTGAATGCCAAATGAGTTGAGTCGACGAGGATGACGAAACATGTAAGTGATTTTAAAGCCAAGGAGGGGCGCTGCATAGAGTGCACAGAGCAAAAACATTACCTCAATTGACCATAGACACTTTGTTGAATGGTAAATAGCATTTTGTTTTAGCCAAAGGTAATAAAAAAATTATTTATTAAATTGGCACAGTAAAAACTTTCCACCATGTCCTTGTTTTTATTACATATTCTTTAGATCAGCAACATATTTCTTACTTATCTATTCAAAGACCCGAATGACTGGTAAAATATGCCTTACAATACATAGTTTTGTTTTCTGTGTAACTTCCATGGAATGTGGTTGGCAAGAATCGGGCAAACCGGTCTCCTGCCGGTGCCCTATTGGATCGGCTTGGCCTGAGCTGATAGCGAAGGTCTCGCAGGTCTTAAGCGGCGACGGCAAGAAAGAGAGCCACTCAGCCACTCAACCACTCGGTGGAGATCTCTGGCTGTGAGTCACGTTCGGAGCCAGCTTGGATCGTCTAGAGACGTGCCTGCTGGTCTTTGGCCGTTTGGCAATTGAGAATTGAGAATAGAGTTACTCTGCACCCAGTGCATAGTTCTACCGTCTGTGCGATAATGAAAATCTTAGAAAACGAGGCGAATTCCGATTGCCGGAGGAAATCCTCTGCTCGTGCATTTCTGGCACGTACCTCTGGGATCTTGGCCTCTGTTATGACGCTCTTATCACCTATGCTTATAAGTATTTGCAGATTCTACGATTCTACAAGGAATGCAAGAAACACTGAAGCTGAAGTGGGTGAAAGGTTATCAAATTTAATCATCTTATATGTTGCAGAATAAAAATTAAAATAGTTGTTAAATATCTTAGAAATATTAATGTGCACATTCTAAAATTCAGTTGGATAATAAAAGAAGTTCTCCAAACATAAATATGTTTACAGAACCGCAAAGTAATAAAAGAGAATTATTTATAGAACGTATTCCTTTGATGAACGCGTCAGTATTTGAATTTCACAGAAATTAATAATAGATTTAGTAGAATCAGATTTCTATGACCTGCATTCCAAAGATATTAGGAGAAGCGCTGAAAATTCTATCAGATACTAAAAAGATCCGAGTTCATGTGGTCATCTCAAATCTGACCATTAGTTTTCGCTCCACTTTCTCGCTTTCGTCCCCAATGCATCTCACTTCTTGCCGAGTGGTAATTACGCACCTTGATGACTCAGAATCTGTCATTAAGGCAAACTGCAGTTCAGTGGGTAACACACATATGGGTGCCAACCCCTCGTCCGCCCCTGAACCGCCTCCTCTTCCGATTCCGCCTTCCGCGTTTTTCTCAAGAAAATCAGAAAGAGAGGGAACCCGGCAAACAACTTGCCCCCTCAACTTGGAGACCTGACCTATGAGCTCTGTCTTTAGCATTCGCATTTAGTACTCTTGGGCTTTGTTTCTTTGTTGCCTTTCTGCCCCACGTCTTCCATTGTTTCGACGTTTATCTCGCTTTTGGGGGCAACAGTTTTGCTTCGATTTGTGCGGTTTTATTTTTGGACCTACCTTGGAAACGTGTTCTGGCTCTCGGAGAACGGAAAATGATCACAGTTTTCACAACAAACAAAGTAAATTACAGTACTTAGGACCAATAAAATGTTGCAGCCTCGATTCTCAGCCGTGGGTGTCGAATTAAACTACTCAATTGAAGAGTCTTTGACTCTTGGCATTATTCCTCACTTTTCACCCACTCTTCCGACTTGAGTCGGCTTAATTAAATTAAAACTTTAATTGTTTTGTTGTCAGGTAGTCAGTCATCAAGTCAACGAACTAAGCCTCAACTTTGTGGCACCTTCAGAAAATGAATGGTTTTCAGTCAGGTGGTTATTTTCTCTGACCAGGCTGATATAGCTTTTGGTTCTGCTCCCTATTTTGCTATCGCCTTTGTAATATTAATTCAATTCCAGACACTTGCCAGGCGAACAATCGCCAAACACTTGGCTCTGATTGAACTTAATTGAATAAAGAGCAGTTGGTTAGTTACATCTTCACTTGGGTCAGGCGAGCAGGAAGTCAACCTTGTGTTGTGGGTTACAGTATTCACTAAATAAATAAAGTTTAGTTTCTGTCAATATAATTAAATATGATGTATAACATAAGGTATTATATTATAATAGAAAATAGTCATATCTTCTATTCTTTAGGTCTATTAAGACATTTAAATGTATATAATATTATATGATGTTCCTTTTCCTTAAAAATTACTATCCTCATTAACATACAATGTTAATAATAATAATGAATAGAGTAGTTTTTAATTAGACAGCTGTTTCAGTAAATTAAAATACAAACTAGAATATGTAATGCATTTTCTGCTTGATTTCGTAACAACTTAGCAATGTGATTGGTATCCACAATGTAAAAATCACGGAAAATGTGTATAGTATTTTCTATATATGTATTCCTGATCAGCCCCTGTCACTTTTAAAGCCCGAGGGTGTTGCCGTTTATAAGTTGCCAATTTATAGAGTAGCTCAAGGCAGCCTGTGAACTAGTTTCGCCTGCTTTTCATACAACTCGAAAGCCATTTAAGTTGACTTCGGGTTTCTTTTGGCATTTCCTCCACATAACCACAGATGTTGCCTCAAATGGGAGCATATGTGTGTTATTTATGCGCTTACTTTCTGTGTGAGTGCCACCACCTTCTGCATTCTTAATACCACCGCCTCTGTTTTTGTTTACCTTTCGGGCCTGAAAATGTGCTCGCCAGTGCAATGCATTTGCCGTTTGTTTACGCTACTTACGTATCCCAAAGATACACAGCGCTGCTGCCATATTTCATCATTTGGATGCCCCGGGCATCTTTCGGATGCATTTGCATGCAAAGAGGGTTTCAATCGTTCCACTGTTTTGCATACCAAATACAACAAATGTTTAACCTTTTTTGCGGCAATTTAGCGACTGTTTTCTGGGGTTTTTCTGAGCGTTACTCGTTTCTATAGCACTTGGCCTTTGGGTTCGTTGTCTACACAAGATTCTCGGTAAAGGAAACCTGTTTCTGTTTCTCTGATTCTTTGGGGTTGGGTCCGGTTAGCAGCGCAATCTTTTTTGACGTACTTTGTTTTATGAAATGCTAATGAATTTATACGGATTCGATTATTTGCGAGACTTCGCCATCAATTAGCACACAACAAACAAAGCAACTAATAAAATTATTGAAAGTCTCTTTCGATTATATTGCGCACTTATGGAGTTGAAGTGAAGGAAGCGTGAATGCCCTTCAATATCGATCGGTTTCATAATCGCCTACCTTCCGAATCCCTGTCTGAATTTCTGGTTAGCAGAGGTGTGCTAATAAATTATCCCATCAGACCTTGAACCCTGGATGTTTGGGATAAATATTGCACATTTTCTTCAATTAGCAGGCAGCTTGGCAATGGCAGATTCGCGTGTTCAGTCGAGGAAACCCCAAAAAAGCGTTGACCCAAAAAGAGGGATGGTAAAATTCCCCATATTTATAGTTTCAGGTTGTGTGCAAAAAAAAACCAATCATACAAAAATATCAGCAAATGACTAATGATAATAAGAGGTAGTATGGATTTCACATACAAGTTTTTATAAATTTGCAGTTTTTACCTTAGAAAACGTTTGCCATTTAAATAACCAAAGAGAGTTGGGGAAAGTGTCTGGCTAATTTGTGAAAAGTAATAAC